CCCACAAAACCGGCTTGTAGGGTGAGGTTTGCACCTACTTATATACACTGAATTGGCCTTATCTCTAGCCGATGTGGGATTTCCAACACACCCCCCTCACGTTGAGGTATATACATCTCGAGCGTGGGATTAGACATTTTTAATGGGTGGTCCGATAGCGGCCCGATAACAGGTGGAACAATATGCCCAACAAACAACAAATTATCGCTAGGATAGGCTCTAACCATGACTCTGATACCATGTTAGAAGTGGACTTTAAGCCTAACTCAACCCCACAAAACAGGCTTGTAGGGTGAGGTTTGCACCTACTTATATACACTGAATTGGCCTTATCTCTAGCCGATGTGGGACTTCCAACAATACTTTTTCTTCTGAGGCTAAGATCACATTGTTTGTCTTTTCCTTTACTATAGTTCCCATTTGCCCGTGGCTTCTTCACTTGCTTCACATTAAAAAATGTCTTTCTTCATGGTGATATAGAGGAAAAAATCAACGAGAAGCAACCTCATGGATTTGTTGCTTATGGGGAGTCTAGTTCAATTTGTAAATTACATAAGTCTCTCTTTAGCCAGAAAAAATCACCTCGAACTTGGTTTGAATAATTTAGTCATATTGTGTAGATTTTTGGATTGAAACTGTGCGAGACAGATCATTTAGTGTTTTATTGATATACTTCTCCTAGGACACATGTTTATCATATGGTCTATGTTGATGAGATTTTTATTACAAGAAATGATATCACTAAAATTTCCCAAATAAAAAAGCATTTATTCGGCCCCTTTCAAACTAAAGATCTAGGCTTTCTAACGAAAGTGTCCTCATTTAACAAAGAAATGTTGATACTTAGGAGACATGCCTCACAAATTGCAAGCCTGCTGATAGTCCTATGAACCAAATCAAAAAGTTAATGACACCAAGGTGAACTTTTCCAGAACTGAGAGTGATAAGTAGGTTGCTAGCAAAACTCTTTTATATCACTATAACAAAGACCTTATCTCTCTTACCCAATGGGAAGTTGAGTCAATTTCTGTAGAACCCTAACATTGATCGCTAGAATGCTATGATAATGCATTCTCAAATATCTATAAAGGACCCTAGGATAAAGATTGTTGTATGAGAATAAAGGAAATAATCAACTCTTTGGGTATTATCATGTAAATTGGGCAAGTTGTCCAATTGGCATGAGATCTTAAACAAGATATTGTGTGTTCCTTGGAGGGAATCTTATACCTTGAAAAAGTAAGAAACAAAGTGTTTTTGCTTGATCTAGTGCAAAAGTTGAACATAGACCTATGGCCTTAGCTGCAAATAAACTTGTGGGGAATAAACAACTCCTTCAAGAATTGAAATTTTGTGAAAATGAGGAGATGAAGTTGTATTTTAAAAATTAGGCAACTCTTCATAATGTCTAGTCTCACACTCGAGATGATGTCTATACCTCGGCATGAAGGGGTGTGTTGGAAGTCCCATATCAACTAAAGATAAGGCAAATTTATAATATATAAGTGGGTGCAAACCTCACCTTACAAGTCGGTTTTATAGGGTTAAGTTAGCCTTAAAGTCCACTTCTTAACAATACCTAATACTTGAGGTGCAAAGTTTTCAACTGTATTAACCAAGAGAAGAACGCAAAATGAACAGACATAGCAAGTTAAACCTTAGAAGATTAGAGAGCTCTGAGTTATCCCTTGACCTGGCTGGTATAGTAATTGAACATATCAATATTCCAAAACCAATGAAAACACTAATACCTGACACTTGAGATGCCAAGTTTCCAACTAAGTTTTGACTTTTCAAAATAAAAATGGAAGCACATGACTTGCCAAGTTTGAATTGTTCCATATATTTTGTTAAGTAATAGTAGCATAAAGTTTTTCAATTACAAAGCCATTACATAAAATATAAGATTTAATATCATGAAACAAAAAGATGTTTTGGTAACACCATAGTAATTACAAAATACATAGTGTTTCTTTCTACACTCCACAATTTTCTTGAGGCACATCCCTTGCATTTCGGAACATGAGTTTTGTACATTCTGCAAAGTTGTTCCAGAGCACAAGGTATTCCAGAATACTGTGGGAGGTGTTCAAGAAATTGTAGGGTGCAAAAAGTTGGAACCCAAAATACATGTATAACTTGAAATCACCTGTGAATCCCTGATGAGTCCATGCAAATAAACATAAGAAAATGGAACCGTTCCTGTAAATTCAATCCCCATCATCACCATTCTTGCGACCCAAAAGAACAATATATCATGCCTGTCAATATGTAAAAAGTAGTATTACTTTATAGAACTACCCAATGAAATAAATAGTAGAGAAATAGACCATAGATTTAATTATGATTTTAGTCCTTAAAATTTGGAGTAACTTTGATTTGGTCAAAAATTTATAAAAGGTTTTAGTCCCTAAAAACTAAAAATAAAAAATTCTAATCCCTGGTGCTACAAACAATTTATTATCCTTAAATGTTAAATCTTAAAAACCTTATTTTAGTCTTCCAAATATAGTATTAAGGGACTAAAACCATATTTTTTCCAAATTTTAAGGAGCTAGAAAAGATTTTTAAAAGTTTTTGGAAGAAAAATCATAATTAATGCAAATTTCTAAGACTAAAATCACAACTAAATATGAAATGAACTAGAGTAAAGCATTAAACACAAGGCTGCAATTAGAAATTTCATACAAGCACGAGACACTTGCGTAAGTGGAGGATTATTACAATTAAAATATCCTCAATATCTCCTTAGTAATTAGGAAAACAATATCTTAACAATCTTCCTATTCATTTCAGCATACCTTTATTTCCTTATTTAGAGAATTTGATTGCTACAAGGTGATGAGAATGTAGGAGGGGTGTGTTTCTTATTAATAAAATAATTCTTTACTTTTTTATATAGATCAAGTTGGTATTTGAGCTCCTAATCTTGAGATCTATATTTCCACTTCCATATCAACATCCACCACCGCAACGTCCATTGCTTGCCATTATTGGCTTTATTTGTCAATGGTGGACCAGAAAGGTGTGCCCCAAACCAATGATGACAACACTGGCAATCGCACATCAATGGAGTCATTACAAGATGTCTTGCACCACCGCTAGTATCAACTTGTGTAGCCCATAAGTGTAGATCCTACAAGGATCAAATTCGTGACCTTTGTCTCAAGACCAAATATTTGAGATGATATTCATTCCTTTAGATCCTAATGATCATCCAAATGTAATAGGCCCTTACCAATTTGGTGGCCATAAAAATTTGTAGTGGAGTTAGTACATTTAGAGGATTTTGAAAGGACGGCCATGATAAGAGCACATTTATGCTGGAGGGATAAGGGCAAATGACTCTCATTTTGTCAATATGGATAATGAGGATTTAGTGATCATGACCTAGATGTGGCATTCTTTGTTTCCTAAGATAAGTAGAAACTATATGATATTCCTCTACTAAAGAGATATGGATGACTTAAATAACACTTTTTCCTTGAAGAAGGATTTTAGTACTTGCTATGACATTGAGAACAGGGTGTTCGATATTGACATGGTTCCCTCATTGTTCAGAGTATCACAAAATTATGAATAGGTTGAGAATCAAACTAGATCAATGTCAAAATTTGAAGATGTGCAAAACATGCAGCTGCACATCTTTATGAGCATTGCAACACCTATATTATATGCAAAGTCTACTTAGCTAGCTTTTCCAAAAGCACTTTTAAGAGAAGAAAAATGAAATAAACTTCTTCATAAGCAAAAATCAAGATCTTACTCAAGATTGGAAACCAAAGTGTAGATCATAAATCAACAGATAGTAGTAAGATCCTTAAAAATTTACGGAATTCAACATGCACACAATTATTATATTGCACTAGAAACTCATAATAGAGTAAGATTGGTAATTGGGCTTCGAAGCAATAAAAAGTTGTGCTTAAGTTTTAGCTTATAAAACTGCATCATGCAACCCAAAGCGAGAAAACCGCCACAAGGAATTTTGCTCCCACACAAGTTGCAATTTACAACGGCAATCTGATGCCATCCAATAAAAATATGTCTTTGATGCAATGCAAGATGCGAGAGGAATGTTAGATATATAGTGTTTTATGTCAATTAAGGAAACATGGACTTTTGCTATTGTTTGATATTGGTAGACATTGTTAATTTTTTTTTAATAATATCTTCTATTTATTATATTTATGTTTGGTTTCATATATATTTGTATCATTCTTCATTATAAATATATTACCTTACGTGTGTTTTAGACACAAGAGAGATTAATCTTATATCTAGTTTTACTATATTCAATAAAATTCAAAGTAAACACCACAATTAGTGACACTTAGGACATTTTTAGTAATAGATGGACCAAGAAGTAAGTTGTGAAGATATAAAGAAAATTTTGAGTTAGGATGGCTAAAACATGTAGAATTAGACCCAAGAACATTCAAACCCTCATCGTTGCCAATGTAAATTTGATCAAGACCATTAAAATGCTTGAACTATTGAATATTTTGAGTCTCCAATAACATGGAAGGAGGCTCTAGAATCAGGGATCCAAGTAGTAAAAGGGCCTGGAGTGGATGAATTGGCTAGCATAGTAGTGGGCACATTGGAGGCAAGAGAAATAGCAGAAGTGGCAAAAAAAGGGGATTGAGATGAAGGAGTGAAGGATGTGGTAGAGATGTGCAGAGGTTGATTGGTGGTCGGATCATAGAGACCCAAAGATTCATGGGGTTGAAAAGATGAATCAGAACGATAAACACATACATTAGTAGTGTGACCATATTTGAAGCAAATCTAACACTGAAAGTTAGCAAAACAACCACCACGGCCACGGCCAGGAGAACTACGGCACCATCACATACAGAAAAGTGACTGCAGTTTCCTCTAGAGTTGTATTTTATTGCTGAAACCTGGAAGATTGTGGATGTTCAGAAGTAGACGAGTAATGTAGTAGGAAAAAGGTTTTTCTGGTGTTGATTGGTGCGTGACTCATGAGCAAGAAGGAGAGCCTCCACCTCGGTGATTGGAGGTTTTCAAACTTACTTTCAATANTTGCTATGACATTGAGACCAGGGTGTTCGATATTGACATGGTTCCCTCATTGTTCAGAGTATCACAAAATTATGAATAGGTTGAGAATCAAACTAGATCAATGTCAAAATTTGAAGATGTGCAAAACATGCAGCTGCACATCTTTATGAGCATTGCAACACCTATATTATATGCAAAGTCTACTTAGCTAGCTTTTCCAAAAGCACTTTTAAGAGAAGAAAAATGAAATAAACTTCTTCATAAGCAAAAATCAAGATCTTACTCAAGATTGGAAACCAAACTGTAGATCATAAATCAACAGATAGTAGTAAGATCCTTAAAAATTTACGGAATTCAACATGCACACAATTATTATATTGCACTAGAAACTCATAATAGAGTAAGATTGGTAATCGGGTGTGCGGGGTTAAGTAATTGGGCTTCGAAGCAATAAAAAGTTGTGCTTAAGTTTTAGCTTATAAAACTGCATCATGCAACCCAAAGCGAGAAAATCGCCACAAGGAATTTTGCTCCCACACAAGTTGCAATTTACAACGGCAATCTGATGCCATCCAATAAAAATATGTCTTTGATGCAATGCAAGATGCGAGAGGAATGTTAGATATATAGTGTTTTATGTCAATTAAGGAAACATGGACTTTTGCTATTGTTTGATATTGGTAGACATTGTTAATTTTTTTTTAATAATATCTTCTATTTATTATATTTATGTTTGGTTTCATATATATTTGTATCATTCTTCATTATAAATATATTACCTTACGTGTGTTTTAGACACAAGAGAGATTAATCTTATATCTAGTTTTACTATATTCAATAAAATTCAAAGTAAACACCACAATTAGTGACACTTAGGACATTTTTAGTAATAGATGGACCAAGAAGTAAGTTGTGAAGATATAAAGAAAATTTTGAGTTAGGATGGCTAAAACATGTAGAATTAGACCCAAGAACATTCAAACCCTAATCGTTGCCAATGTAAATTTGATCAAGACCATTAAAATGCTTGAACTATTGAATATTTTGAGTCTCCAATAACATGAAAGGAGGCTCTAGAATCAGGGATCCAAGTAGTAAAAGGGCCTGGAGTGGATGAATTGGCTAGCATAGTAGTGGGCACATTGGAGGCAAGAGAAATAGCAGAAGTGGCAAAAAAAGGGGATTGAGATGAAGGAGTGAAGGATGTGGTAGAGATGTGCAGAGGTTGATTGGTGGTCGGATCATAGAGACCCAAAGATTCATGGGGTTGAAAAGATGAATCAGAACGATAAACACATACATTAGTAGTGTGACCATATTTGAAGCAAATCTAACACTGAAAGTTAGCAAAACAACCACCACGGCCACGGCCAGGAGAACTACGGCACCATCACATACAGAAAAGTGACTGCAGTTTCCTCTAGAGTTGTATTTTATTGCTGAAACCTGGAAGATTGTGGATGTTCAGAAGTAGACGAGTAATGTAGTAGGAAAAAGGTTTTTCTGGTGTTGATTGGTGCGTGACTCATGAGCAAGAAGGAGAGCCTCCACCTCGGTGATTGGAGGTTTTCAAACTTACTTTCAATAACAGAAGATGAACATTTTATTACCTTCAAATTAGATTGTGTATAAGTTAAAAATCATTTTTTAAAGTAATTAAAATTGCATAATGCATAAATACTTAACCCAGCCGCAAGATAGCATTTATTGCAGAATAGCTTGTTTCCAGGCTAAGTTATATCATCATTATATTTTCCAGAGGGTAGCATACTTTGATCTGCATTTTTTCTGAGTGAAGTAAAATCTTTATCTGCACTAAGAATCAGAAGTACATACCCAGTTTCAAGCATTGTGGTAGGATAGAATCGCTTAAAATCGTCTGCACATGTAGCTGGCCATCCAAGGGTACTAAAAGGCCAAAGTGCGCTGATAAAAGATGAGTTTATAGTTAGCCCAAACAACTGACAGAAAAATCACAAGAAATTTAACAACTGAAAATGGCCACATCAGGTTTAAGATTTGCCCAAAAATAATTTCATCAAACGATTTGAGCAACTACAACACAATTAGCCTACACATGATAGTTCAGCAGATTGAAACTCAGGGAAGAAACGCTAAGCAAAATGCTTCAAAGAAGACCAATGAATGCCTAAACCAAAAATCCTTCCAAAAAGAAACAGAGCATTTGTTTTCATTCACCCCTTTCAATGTCCATATTCCCATTAGCAGAAGAAAGAATACATAATTCTAGAACAACTTTACCCAGAAAGGAAAATTTTAAAAGACATGAAGAACGTTTTAATAATACACAAACATGAAAAAATAAGAGTTTACAAATAGATGGGAGTATATTTGGAATAAGTAAAGAAAATAAGAGGAAATAAAAGGTGCAGAGATGTCCACAGTCCCTCAACATGGATATCTAGAAACACCATTAAAAGCATTACTGAAATTACTAAAGAGGAAATAGGGAGCACCACTCTTTGAAATTTGTTATATGGAGAAAAGAGGAATTTGGAAATAGAAATGGAAGTCCATGGTGTCAAGCTCTAACTTTGGGACAGTATTTTGCTCTCTTATTTCATGTGCCTTTTATCTTTTCTGCACTCCCTATTTCTGTTCTTTGTCTTCTTTGTTATCAGAAAAGTACAAGGAAAATTGCCATTTACAAAGTAGAAATGAGGAAAGAGAGGACTCCGTAGACTTCAATTATCTGTAATTGGTGAGGCAATAGAATAAAATTCAATGCATGTGAGGGTAGGCGGCATAAAAAGCATAAATATGGATCACAAAAAAGAAAAAAGAGGAAACCAAAAAAGAAATGTGAGAATCTATCTACCAAGTACAAGACACATGTTTAGCAGCATAAACAAAAAATGCCATGCCATACACTCAATCCCCATACATTATAATGTGCTAAATGGATGCCCAAATACATTTATAAACACTGGATATATACAATACAGAATTCTCATTTCGACTATGTACAAAAAGAAAGTCGTCCAGATGCATCTAAAAATGAAATAGATATATGAAATAAACTACCTAGAAAACCAAGTATCAAGAACATCAGGATCTTGATATATTTCTACATCCTTCCCATATTTCTTGTGAGCTTTCTCAAGTGCTTCCTTAGCATTTCTAGCAACTATATACTCCTCTTCATTGTCTTTTCCAGCAATGTACCATACAGGTATCCTGTGTCCCCACCATAGTTGTCTGCTTATACACCAATCCTTAATATTGGAGAGCCAATGATTGTAAATCTGCCATGACCATAATTACTCTGTATTATTTTTTTGTTCAGAAACAATTAAACAAGAAAAAATACACAGGGAAGAGGGTAAGGTACAATCTAAATTGTAAAGCCAAAATGAAAGAGATATACAAGAGGGAATGAGGCTACACATAAATCTGTGTGGCTGGTTCAGCATTGAAGAAAACCACTATTGTCATGGCTAGATCTTGGTTTAGATATAAGTGTCATGAAAAGATAAGGATCTGTACACAGCCTGAGCTCTGTAGCTGGAGGTACCACTTGATGGCAAAAAACATTGGGTTATGAGCAATTTGATCAGCCTGTAGCTTCCACCAGAACTTCTGGATCATGATCTTCATGTGACGATCAATAGAACAAATAACATGTTGCACATTGCGACACATGTTCTGATAAAACTAGGGCATGGACTGCCCAGCCCATGTGATTAGATGACAGTGTACCAAATTCTCGCATTGATGAATTTCAGGGAAGGAGGAAGCATACTTAGTCTTATGTATCAAGGACTATTTCAAAAACTCCACCATGTCAAAGTGCATGTTATCTTGTTTGAATCCAAGTGAGTTTGGCTCTTTGGCAGAACTGTAAGATTTTGAACACCAATTAATGGAATAAGCTAACTGACCCATCCATGGAATCTCTATTGGAGAGTAAATTACGGTTAGGAACCAAATTTCTTGGAAAAGAGAAAGTAATAGGAGCTTTTTACTGCATAAAATGAGAGGAACAACAAATAGAAGCACCATCTCCTCCAAGAATTCTTTCTTGTAGTCCTAATACCACCACCTCTGATTTCCTTTCTCTTGTCTGTTTCATAGATAGGGCGACGTGAGCTACAAATTAGTGGGTTACACTTTTAGTTTTTTCTTGTTGGAAGTCCCACATCGACTACTGATAAGGCCAATTTAGAATATATAAATAGGTGCAAACCTCATTTTATAAGCCTGTTCTGTAGGGTTGAATTAAACTTAAAGTCTACTTCTTAACATGGTATCAAAGTTAGGTTAAAGCCTGTCCTAGTGATGCTTGTGTTTGTTGGACATATCATTCCATCCACTATCGGATCACCCATTAATGGCTAGTTCCATGCTCAAGATATATATACATCAACTTGAGGATTGCACCACACATATATATTATATTCTAACTTTATTCCTAGTTGATGTGTGTTAGATGTTAAGATGTGTGTTTCTGTTATTTGGGCTTAGTCTATTATGTATTAAGGGCATTGGCCCATATCTTACAATATAAATAAATTACCCTATGTGTATGCAAAACACACAAGGGATATTTTCTCCCAATCTTCTCTATTTCTCATAATGTGGAATCGCAACACCACTCACATCAAGGAATGAACATCTCGAGTGTGAAAAAACTAAAAATGAGATTAGTAGAAAAATTTATTTATCTCTCACACATAAGACCGTATATTGTTTATGCAATTAGTGTAGTTAGTCAATTTATGCATGATCTAGGAGAAAGACACATGCAAGCAGTTGTAAAATTTCTTCAGTAGTTGAAGTCAACCCTAGGAAAAGGGTTATTCTTTAGGAAAGGAGACACGTTGACCCTAAAGATCTATAGTCATGCATATTATGCAAGTTAAATTGTTGACAAAAAATCTACATCTAGGTACTACATGTTTCTTGGACAATGTCTAGTGACTTCGAGAAGCAAAAACCTAGACAAGGCATCTTGTTCTAGTCTAGAAGCTCAGATACTATACTAGGGAATGAGTTTAAGCTTAAATCATTATCATAAATCAGCTTGTAAGGTGAGTATTAAAATATTTACCCTATTTATCATTGTTAGAGTATTTACCCTATCATTGTTAGAGTATTTACCCTATTTATCATTATTGTATCGGAACTACCATATTTTGTATCAAAACATTCTTATATATAGAATGAGAGTGAAAGGGATCTTTTAAGCCCTCGGGAATTATTTTACAATTTCAATCTCAAGTTGGTATTAGAGCAAGTTGTCTGAGTCTCCTCCTACTCTGTCTTTGTTGCCACCGGTGGCGGCGCTAGCCACCGCCGGCCTAAAAATTTCATCTTTTTTGATATAGCTCAATGGGCAGTCCTACTCTCCTAATAACATCAGATATTTCCAGTGTTTTGTTCGTTGTTTTTTCGCTGTGAACCGCCGCTCTCCGCCACTGGCCTCCATATGCCGCCAGCCACCATCACAGTTTCGACCGGTGACCGGCAGATCAGGATCGCCTACTCGAGCGACGACCAACCCCGCTGGTGTCGTGGGATACTTCTCATCCATGGGCCACCAAGAGCGCCACAAATGTTTGATGTTCACCTCAGTCGTCGTCGTCCTTTTCTCTAACGAAGACAAGGTGCACCTCAAGGATCGCGACTCAACCCCATCGAAGTCAGGACCAGATTCCTCTCCTCGCGCCGACACGCGCTGTCTTTCTTCGGCCGAGCTCGAGTGTGTGTTTTTCACACGCCGCCTTCTCGATGTCGGAATCACACTACACCACATCCAGTCGTCTCGTCAGTCCATCTCTCTGTTCTGACCCTCCATAGCATCTTTGTCTTCTCCCTTTCTCACCAGACGACGATCCAGCTCAGCCACGGAGAGGAGAGGAACCAACCCTTATGGGTTTTGCCTCGCGTTTTCACTTTGCCGCATTCCCTCTTTGTTCTCCGACGAGGGAACTCATGTTGCAAACTCTCGCACGTGCTACTCTCAGTCTCACATAGCCTTCTAATATCGAAAACCATAAGTCTTAGCAAGCAAGTGTTGTTGTTGTTCGTGCCTCTTTTGAAGGGCTCTCTACACCACCAATGGTTTCGGTGGTTGGTTTCTGATTTGTAGTCATTTGGTTGGTATTTTTGAAGAGTCATAGATTTCTTGGTGAATGGAAGTGAAGATGGGATGAGAAAAGTCTTCCCAAGGAAGAAATATTTAAAAAAAAAGTGCCTCTATTCAGCATTGTATCTTTGTTCGTTATCCCTTTGCATGATGTGTGTTTAGCTTTGTATGGTCATTTATTTACAAGTCTCCAAGGGCAGTCGGTGAACACCAAGGAATTTCAATACCAAAGTCAGATTAAGTTTATCTATTCCACGCTTGGTACATACAATTTGTATGCTCCAGCTTGAGGGGGTGTTAGAATATTTACCCTATTTATCATTGTTAGTATTTACCCTATTTATCATTGTTAAAGTATTTATCCTATTTATCATTGTTAGAGTATATACCCTATTTATCATTGTTAGAGTATTTACCCTATTTATCATTGTTAGAGTATTTACCCTATTTATCATTGTTAGAGTATTTATCCTATTTATCATTATTGTATCAGAACTACCCTATTTTGTATCAGAACTTTCTTACATATAGAATGAGAGTGAAAGGGATCTTTCAAGCCCTCGAGAATTATTTTACAATTTCAACCTAAGGTGTGAGATTTGCCCGCACTTCTATATTCTAAATTGAACTTATCTCTAGTTGATGTGGGATATCCAACACACCAATTCATGCCAACGCATGAATATTTTGTGCGTGAGACTAAATATTCATGAGTAATCTAACAATAGCTCGATAGCAGGTGGTACAATAGGCTCAACAAAATTCACTAAGAAAGACTATGATACCAACCTAAAAACTAAAGAATTATTTTATTGATATCAATCACACCAATTATATTCTCATCGTCTCTATCGTAGTAACCAAAACCTTTAAAGAAAGGAAATATGCTGAAATAAATAGCAAGATTATGAAGATATTGTTTCCTAATTACTATGAAGATATTGAGAGTATTTTTTATCCTAATAATTTGCTATTTACAACAGGAAGATTTTTATTTACTCCATATCTTGTCCTTATTATTAGAGGATATCAAATCTCCTCTGTTTAATATATTGTTTTTGTTTTCTCAATATAAAGAAAGCACGCGTACTGTCTAAAAAAACACATAATTTCAGCCCAATGTATCCCTCTTTTCTATAGTATAACATCCAAAACAATGAATGAGCGAACCTTCTCAAATCTTTCAGGAATTATAGTCAATTCTCTTTTCTCAACTGCTTGAAGTGCTTTCTCAGCGAGAGGCTCCATACTCACAAACCACTGCTTGCTAACAAGTGGCTCTATCACCTAATTCAACAATTAAAAAAGTTCACAGTTAGAAAACTTTAAAAATAAACAAATCAAAGAGATAACATAATGCAAGTTATCAACTAAGAGCATGCTTTCTAACTTCTCCACCACGCTGAGATCTCGGAACTCGTAATGTGTGGGGTTCCTTTTTCACAGCTAATCCTGTCTCCTCAAGCTCTGCCCATAGTTTTTTCCGACCATCAAAACGATCAAGGCCACTAGTATTATAAATATGATTTTCATGTTAGTCAAAACAACTTATGATAAACAATAACTTTAACAAAATAGTTCTAGGAATACCTGTACAACCCAGTAACATCATTTAGTGTTCCATCCTTATTCATCACATTAAGTATCGGAAGACCAAGCTTTCGAGCTAGCAAATAGTCATCATGGTCATGTCCTGGGCTAATTTTCAGCACTCCAGTTCCAAAATCTTTATCAACATGCTGGGACACATAATATCATTCAATATAGATTAATAATGACCAGGATTTCACGTTAGTTTAGTCCCTGAAATATTGTTGGTTGCAAAATCATTTGTGGCAAAAGAAGCCATATTAAGAAATATTAAATTTTTAACAAGGAAATATTATTGAAAGAAATACCAGTTAGAATTAAGAAGTAGCTATTAGAACATTGGGTATTATCAGTTTGCGGTTGTACTAGTTGTATTAGAACAAACAATAATCACGCATTAAAAAAATAATTTAAAATTACTTTGATTGAACAAATTGCAACTTCTATACCTTGTTAGCAATGATAGGAACATGGCGACCAAATGTCTGAGGTACAATTGCCATCATACCAATATACTTGGAATATCGATCATCCTGCAGTTTAGTGCAAACTACAAGATTTTAGGATTAGCAACGACAAAATCAGAAATATTACATTCTGATACAAGTTATACGAAGAAATTTAGATTATAAGTGAATCCATTGAATATACTTCTTTTTTCAATATATAAAAAATTAAAATTCCATGATTTCAATTAATTCATTCATTAAATGGGAGAATTGGAATTTAATATATCCAATTAGAATAACGGCATGAAGTTCATGCATCACATAAAATGCATTCAGTGTTGATATGTATTTAGTGTATCAATCAATTCAATAATCATTTATTATTCTATTTCGAAAACTGGTGGTAATAGTTAATTTCAGAACCAAATCAACCCCCCCCCCCCCCCCCCCCCCAACATGAACTCAGTCCCTAAAATCCAACAAAAATCTCCCGGGAGCTTACTCTCTCGAGCATCCATTCTCCTGAACAATTATCAAACTAAGATGGTTAAAAATAATTCCATTATAAAAATCTATTTCTTATTGAGGGCTAGGAAATATGAATGTTCAACTTTGTTCCACCAATGAACACAACATAATTTACTGCTCGTGTTTAACTAGACTGAACCCTACGAGGACAAGAAATCTATCTATCTACCTCTGGATGAACTGCTAGTGCCACATCACCAAATAAAGTCTCTGGTCTTGTTGTAGCCACAGTCAAGAAGTCACTCCTACAAAAAGAGTAATCTCTAAACCATCAATGAAAGGTGCATCCACAGAGTATGAAATTAAAAGAAAACAGAAAGATGATGATACCAGCTTTCTGTCATCACTGAAATAGGCATTGAAGATTAAATATTTCTAATTCATATGTTCTGGTCTGATGATCAATAAACATTTCATACACAAGCAGATATACGTAATAGTTAAGGTACATTTTTGTGTGCCAATAATTTGAATTCTTCAAGCAAAATGAAGAAATAAAACAACGACATAAATGCTGATAGGAAACTGTTCTCAATGGTTCCCTTAAGGTCTATATACCCTAGGGTTTTAGGCAAATACCTTGCCTCTTCTTTCTATCCTATAAATACATCAGTAAAAGTGTAACAATGTAAGAAAAATATACACTATTTTTTCATCTCATTTATTCAAGTGAAGGTAATTCAAATAAGTTCCTCAACAATCGTTGTTGGAAAGGACTGCAAAGGCGAAGACAAAATAACATATACTCCAGAAATTGAATTTGAACAAATTAAACCAAGAACAATTCATCATTCGCAAAGTGCAATTCACTATCGCCAAGCCCAATTGAACAAATGAATTAAGAACTGAGAATAATTCACAGTTCCCAAAGTGCAATTCATTAACCCAGCACAATGAGAACCACAAAAAATTTAGATTTTTCAGAACAAGAGAGCAATGACAACAATATTGCAAGAGAAAAAAAATGAGAATAAGAACTAGAACCAAAGAAGTAAAAAAAACTATCGACCGGCCAGAATGTCACCAAAGGCTCACAAGGTTAGAGAGGAAACAAGTAAAACATGATAGTGAAAAACTTTGAAGGCCTTTTCCACAAGCTCTAACCCATTTTTTACCTAAAATCACCTCCAAAAATGCCCCTGTAATGTTAATATTTGAAGCCCTTCACAGGATTTGGGAAACCATAAAAGCTGTACAGCAGCGACAGTGAACTGTCTGAAATTCTAGCAGTGCATAGGTGTCAAGTCGCTACAGTAGCATGCTATTGCCAGCTCTATTACATTTGAATAAAAACCCTATGAAAAGATGAACTTTCTTTTATAAAACATATACATACAT